GCTTGGTTCTCTTCTTCCACCTTTATGTGGGTTCCAGGCATCAAGTTCAGGTAATTGGGCTTTGGTGGCACACTCCTTGGCTGTTGAGCCCTGTGACTGTTGTCAACTTTCACTAGCCATGGAACACCTGAATTAATGTAGCACACCCCACCCAGTGTGTCTGTGTGGGCATTTCTGGAAAGGGTTAACCAAGAGGATGGACCTGCTCTGAATGTAAAAACCAGTGAATCAAAGGAGAAAGGGACTGGCTGGAGAGATGGCTCAGCCATTAAGAGCGCGTGTTGCTCTTCCAGAGGACCCCAGTTCAGTTGCTAGTACCCACATTGGACAGCTCACAACTGCCTGCATCCAGCTCCAGGAGATCTGATGCCCTCTTCTGGCTTCTATGAGCACCTGCACACATGTGGCATACACTCAACACGGATGCACATATACATTTTTTTAATCAAGAGGAATTAAGGAATTAGGATAGTTATGTTCAAAATATGTTTAACACAAAATTTACAGATTTTTTTTAAAAAAAATCAAGTTTGAACAATCCTGTGTTGTTGGGGTTTCTGTCCTGCCCGGTTCCCATAATCATTAAGTCCCAGAGAAATCACACGGAGGTCTATGTTAGTTATAAACTGGCCCTTAGCTCAGGCTTCTTATTAACTCTTATAACTTACATTAGCCCATTATTCTTGTCTATGCTAGCCACGTGGCTCAGTACCTTATTCAGCAAGGCAGTCACATCTTACTTCTTCTGTGGCTGCCAACCAAGCTTTCTTCTTCCCAGAATTCTCCTGTTCTCGTCACCTGCCTCTACTTCCTGCCTGGCTACTGGCCAATCAGCGTTTATTTAAAATATAATTGACAGGATACCGAGCATTGTCCCACAGCAATCAGAGCAGGTTCTGAAGAGAGCCGGTGCCAGTGGTGATGGTTGGCAGAAGTGGATCAGAACTGCTGCTCTGAGGACCAGCCTTCAGCAGTCAGGGTTTGAGGGGAGCCACAGAGTCGAGGGACATCGCTCAGTTTGACTTTTTTTTTTTAATAAATAATTTATGTGGAATATTTTAAAACAAATTCTAGTAAGCATTTCATGCTATACTGTTGTCTCAATGTCAAAGCATGACAGTTTTCTATGCAAGAGGGAGCTTCCAAATAGTGGTCTTTATTTTTACATGAATTTCAAAGAACCGGAAGTGGGGGAAATTTTGTATTGTTTACATTCCTAGGTTTTTTTTCCTCCATCCAATCAATATAAGAAATCAATATCAATCTTTTCTTGAACTTTTTCTGCTTTAGAAACATTTTAACTAGTTTATTTGTAAATTGAGGTATTTGTACATTTTGTTTTAATGCTAAGACTCTAACTGTGGAAACTGAAACAATTTAATACGTATTAAAGTAAATATTCAGCTACCCGTAACTCAATGGATGTTTTTATTTTTTAATTATTTTTTAAATTTGCATATCAGTCCCAGTTCTCCTTCCCTCTCCTCATCCCGCTCCCTCACCTTCCCCCCCGACCCCGTCATCCTTTCCCATCACCTCATTGAGGCCTGACCGAGGCCCTCCCCCTTGTGTCTATCTCTCCATAGGAAATGGGCTCCAAAAAGCCATTGTATGTACTAGGGATAGATCCTGGACCCACTGCCAGTGGCCTCATAAACTGCCCAATTCACTCACTGTCACCTGCATTCAGGGGGTCTAGTTCGGTCCTGTGCAGGTTCCTCAGCAGTCAGTCCAGAGACCGTGAGCTCTCACTGGCTTGGGTCAGTTGTCTCTGTGGGTTACCCCATCATGGTCTTGACCCCGTTGCTCATATTATATCTCTCCTGCCTCTCTTTGACTGGACTCCGGGAGCTTGGCCTACTGTTTAGTTGTGGATCTCTGCATCTGCTTCCATCAGTTACTAGATGAAGGTTTGACGGTACGGTAGTCCTCAATGTGATTACAGGAAGGCCAGGTCAGTCAGTCCCCCTCTCCACTATTGCTTAGGGTTCTATCTGGAACCGTCCTTGTGTATTCTTGGGAATTCCGTAGTGCCATAACCCCATAACACTAACCCCATAACGGTTCCCTCTATCAAGATAATTCTTGCCTTGCTCTCCCTCTCTGTCCGTTTAACTTTTCTATCTGAGGGGGTAAACTTAACTCTCTGGGGCTGGTAAGGGGGGAAATGTAACTCTGGGGCTGGTGAGAAAGGGAAAAGCATACACACACACACAATTTCAGGGTCTCTCATCACTCTCTTCTCTTTTGTTTCTTACCTCTATTCAGATATATCCCTTCGGTGTGTCCTTACAGATTATATACCCCAGCAAAATCTTTCAAGCACTGTAAGAATTACAATGTGGCTACAATCTATTTTTTAAATGAATAAATACAATGAATACCAATGAAAACCGTTTTCCTTATGTCTTACGTGATTAAACATTTTACATACTAGAGGTGAAAAACAAATATGCAAGAACCCCCATGCATTCATGTCCAAGCAGCTTGCTATAGATTAACAGAGGATAAGCCGGCAAGGTATTTTTCTCAGTGTTTTTACTGGCAGAGCAGCATTTTGTGGTTACAAAGAAAGGATCAATCGATTTATTATTTATCTCAAAAGGTAATTTATAAAAATCTTAAAAGAATCACAAATCTAAATTTTTATATATGAAAAACAATCAGCTCTAGTTTAAGTCCTCAGGGTGCAGACCCACTCACCCACAGTCTCGCTGTCTCAGGAAGCTGAGGACAGAAATGGGTACAAAGAATTACTCATCACTTTTGGTCACCTACCCATCTATAGCAAGAAAGGCTTGTCAGCTAATGATAACCGGGCCGTCTTTGTTCTTACTTCTTGACTTCAGTAAGTCCCTCACCCAACCATTAGAAATGTGCCTTTCTAAACTTTAAATTGTTCCCCAAGATTTTCTACCTTAAAGCCATTAGTCGGAACACTCTAACCTAACCTTACTAACAAGTCTACATGTCTAAATTCTTTCTAAGGGTGGTGGTTGAATCATTCATCTGCTCCAACAGCAATGCTTGGAAAAAGCCAATCATTGTTATTTTAAGTACCAGTAACACTGCCCAATGAGGGGCTAGAAACACCGAGAGTTTTCACAGAACCCATGAGGGGCCAAGGCCACAATTAGAGCTGTGCTCCAAAGAAGCATGGTATCCTCAGGACACAGTCCTCGGGGCTCTGCCTCTCCAAGGCTCGCGCAGACATGGCTTTGCCAGGAGCTGCAGTGCTGCCTGTTAGTCCCCTCGCGTGGCCCCGACACAGAACCTTCCTGGCTTCCGTCCTGGCACTTTCAATGTTGCTGTTCTTCCTGGGCGGGGCCCCATTTTTGTGGTAGATAAATATTTCAAGAAAAGATAGCAACACACTGACTCACTTCTCCACGCTCTCAACCGTCACCAGTTTTGAGCCCTCATAAACCCACACCTTGTCCTTGGTGGTGTGCTTGATAGTGTGAGGACAGCAGACACAGTCACTGTATTGTTCCCTGTGGAGGGCCGCAGCCCCAGCCTGTGACACTGGTAACTGTGGGGGGACAGATGACGGTGACTGACATATGCAGTCCTTTTTCTCTAACCCCTGTTCTCCCATTTCACCATCTCTGCCCACAGGCATTTGGTAGTAAAAAAAAAAAAAAAAAAAAAAGCCTACAGGTAATGCCCTGGGAATAACCCTTGACCCCTGAGGCATGGGCGCTGTCTCCTGCAGGAAGTCAGATCTATACACTGCCTCTGAGAGCATTCCCCGTCACATCTGTGCCTCCAGTTATGTCGAACTGTGACCTGCTCACGGGTGCAGCCTTATTTTGAGGGTTTTTCTCTATTCCTTCCCTGTCTCGATTACCCCTTGGTCTTAGAGTCAGCTTTGGAAAGAACCTGCAGCAAGCCGTATGCTGTCGGTGTTTGTAGACTGGGTTAATTAATTCATTACTCGAGTAAGAGTCTGCTCATTCAGAGAAATTGGCCAGGAAGGAAAATAGAGTTTAGAATGCACAATCAGTGTTAACAAGATAGAAAGTGAAAGTTGGTGAGAAAAATAGACGAGTGCTTTCAGAGACAGAAGTCGTGGAGACTTCCTGCCTGCCCAGCTCAGAGGCAGGGTAGGGATGGAGCACCCACTGTGTGAGCTTATGGGCTGTCACATTAGCTTTGAGGAAAGAGGATGAAACCTCTCATTGTCCGTGTGTCTCTACAGCTACACTGGGCCCTGCCTGCTCACTGGAGGCAGCAAGGGGTAGTGATGGGGCAGGGGAAGTGACAGTTAGCCAGAGGAGAAATGCCACAGGAGATGTGCTAATTTTTAAAATAAGATTTTTTTTATTTTGTGTGTATGAGTGTTTGCACATATGTAAATACACTACATGGATGCAGTGCCTGCAGATGTCAAGCAAGAGTGTCAGATCTCCAAGAGTTAAAAATGGTTGTGAGCTACCATTTGGGTCCTAGGAACCAAACCCAGGTCCTCTGCAAGAGCAATGGGCGTTCTTAACTGCTCAGAGCCTGAAGGCAAGCCTGCTTGCTATTCCAGACATTAGCTCTGTCCAGGACACCCACTCCGCGCCCAGAAGAAGCACAGTGGGAACCGTAGAGGAGGATGCTCACTAACTGGCTTGCAGGATTGCTTCTGCTCAGCTATCTCACTTAAATAGCTCAAGACCTAGGAATGGTGCTTTATTTGTGACTTTGCTATACAAATAAAAGATATGGGACTTTTCCAAGTAGGCTCTTTACTTTTTCCTAAAAAAGTAGGAAGTAGAAAATCATATCATTTGCAAATAAATTGGGGGATTTCTTTTCAATCTGTAGACTGCCCCCCCCACCACACCTTGTTCTATTATATTGACCAAAACTTCCAGAGCTCTCCTGAACAGAAGTAGCAGGAGTGGATACTCTGTTCTCATCAAGTATTAGCAGTGGGTCTTCCGCATGCCCCTTCTCTGTCGACTGAAAGGGGGGTTATTTATTATAGCTAACCCATTGCTCTTTCCTTTCAGCAGAAGACTCAGAAAGTGGCGTTTATATGCGATTCATGAGGTCACACAAATGTTATGACATCGTTCCAACCAGTTCAAAGCTTGTTGTCTTCGACACTACGTTGCAAGTGAGTATATCCGGCCTCCATGAACTTCTGGTAGCTTCTTGGGGCAGCTGCTTGCGTGGCTCCAATCCAGCAATAGCAGCCAGTCTTGGCTGAGCTCTTTCCACAAATCAGACCTTGGGCTGAGGTTTCATCTGTATCCCCATGGTAACTGCGTAAGGAACACGCTATTGCTAGGCTCATTGTACTGATACAGAAACTGAATTCTAGCTAAACATAAATCAAAATTTAATCTACAGATTCCTCATCCCCTAGCTAGTGTGGTAGCTGTGAATTTGAACCCAGGCTCGTGTGCTGTGGGTTGGAGCCTAAGCCAGTGTGTACTGAATTGCCCCCCCCACTGGTGACTGATTGTCTTTATTGGTTATTAAATAAATTTATGGTTAATATTAGGAAAGATGTTGAGGTGTATAATTTCTTGCAAAAGAACTTTATTGGTCTGTTCCAGTAGGAAATTAGAACCTGATTATTTTTCTATTAAAATTGTGTTTATTGCTTACTTTTTGCCACTATGGCTAATAATTTTATATGAAAGTTATAATTTTTTTTAATTTTTTTTAAGTTTATTAAAATATAAAAGTTTCCATTTTCGCCCCTCCTCCCAACACCCTCCCACTCCCCCCACTCCCTCTCCTCTTCCCTCTCCATCCCTAAGAGCAGTCAGGGTTTCCTGCCCTGTGGGTAGTTCAAGTTCCTCCCGCTCCCTCCAGGACCAGGAAGGTGAGTATCCAATCAGACTGGATCCCCAAAAATCCAGAATATGCAGAGGAAACAAGTCCCAGAGTCATTGTCAATGGCTTTTTAGAAAGACTTCGGGCCAGCCACATTCAGAGAATCCAGCCTCCTCCAGAGAATCTGGTTGGATCAAGCGCTCCTTCAGTCTCAGTCGACTGGCCTTGGTGAACTCTCATTGTATCAGTGGGTGATCGCTCCCCTTGCGGTTCTGATTTCCTTTTTCATGTTCTTCCTCCTTCTGCTCCTCCTTTGGACCTTGTGGGGCTCAGTCCGGTGCTCCAATGTGGGTCTCCGTCTGCATCGCCATCCATCGCCGGATGAAGGTTCCCTCTGATCTTGCCCTCCCTGCTCACGTTCTTCTTCCTTCTGCTTCTCGGTTGGACCTAGGGAGTTAAGTCCAGTGTTCCAACGTGGGTCCCCGTCTCTATCTCCATCTATTGCCAGATGAAGGATCTCTCTGGAAAGAGCTCCTCAGTAGTGCAACAGGGCTAGCTGGTCTTCCCAGGACCCGGGAGACAAAGGGCCCCGCAGCAGTGGGGGGAGGGAGGGGTTCCGTGGAACACCGAAGACCCTGCCGCAGAAGCTGAAGGGGGAGGGGCTGTGCTCTCTTCCCAGACAGCACCCACTCACCTCTCTGGGAAGAGCTCCTCAGCAGCCGAAAGTTATAATTTATATGTTCTAAGTATATGTTCTATATTTATATGTTCAGTGTAATAATCAAGTTACATTCAGTGTATAAGATGTATATATATAATATATACGTGCACATATATGGATGCACACAGATACACCACATCACCAAGTAAGATTGTCTTCACTTGTGTTCCAAGAAGTAGATACTGAGCCAAGAACTGTGAACAAGTGGCTTGTGACGAATGTGCTGTCAGGAAAAACCCCAAAGGTATGGGAAGAGAGACAACCCCAAGAAGCCAGCAAGGGTGTGATTTCAACAACGACCTGTGGGGGGCAGCCTTGGCCTGAACCCTCGATGGAACCCTGAGCTCCCTGAGTTTATCCTAAGCCTCTTTTATTCTGCATCCAGCGCTTACACTTTAGAGGAAACACCAGACCCTTGGAGCCATTCTTCCTGCTTTCCGTCCCTGCCACATGGTACCAACAGGAAGACAGAAGTGATTTTTGCTTTTGCTTAATTGCATTGCCAACTTTTTCTTTTGTAAATTTATAGAAATACAATTGGTTTTATAAGTGGGCTTTAAGGCCTGGCAGCTGGTAGATTCTCATTGAACCAGGTCCTTTTACACACCTAAGATTCTTTGATTCTTAGTCATAGGACAGAAAGCAAACTCATGCTTATAATAGGGAAGGTGGGTCTTTAAAAAGTCATTCTAAGAAGTGTCTCTACAGCTATTGCTACAAATTTCAGTATTTAAATAACTAGACATTCTTCAGGGGGCTGGTGGTGGTGGCACACGCCTTTAATTCCAGCACTCAGAAGGCAGAGGCAAGTGGATCTCTGTGAGTTCAAGGCCAGCCTAATCTACCAAGCAAGGCCAGGGCAGCCAGGGCTACACAGAGAATCCCTGTCTCAAAAAGCCAAAACCAAACAAACAAAAAAGGATTAAAAAGCTAGACATCCTGAGTCCCCAAAATAAACTGCTGGCCCAGCCCCTTACCCCCCTCACGCCTGCCTCCCCCACACTCCCTTTTAGGAGCAGCAGCTCTTGACCCCTCACATTTCCATGAGCAGACACAAGAGCCAGTCTGCTGTTTACCTAGATTTTATTGTGCCCTGGGGTTGACGTTCTTTGGAATTAAGAATTTAGCCAGGATGAGTAATCTGAGAAAAATGTAATGCTTTCCGGATGCCCAAGGTCAATAATTCAGTAATATAATTTCTGCAGTTAATCAAAGCCATGTGTATATCCCGTCCCAGAAGGCATTTATCCTGCGAGTCTCCGAGCTTGGAGGGAGCTGGAATTTATGACCAAGGAGACAGCATGTTGGCAGTGGTTAGAGCAGAGGGAAGATGTTCTTGAAGTTCTTGACTAACTACAGCAGCTTTCCTTGACACGCCCATGAGAGCGAAAAGAAGGGGGGGGGGCTGTCTGCCCATTCCCGGAGGCCTGTTGGGTGAATGACTTCTAAAGTGGACACATCACAGAATTCTGTAATGCGGCCATTAAGAAGAGCGAGGTGTAGTAGTACAGGCCTAGATTCCCAGCACTTTGGGAGATAGAGGCAGGAGGATCAAAAGTTTAAGGTCATCCTCAGCTACTTAGTAAGTTAGAGGCTAACCTGGGCTACTTGAGAAAAGAGGAGTGTAGCCTACAGTTCATAAAGAGTCAGAGGTTATAATTAATATAAATAATAATTCATATTAATTATGAAAGGTCAACCTTAGCTTAAGCTTCTTTCTAACTAGCTCTTAAAACTTAACTCAGTTCTCTTAATTTATCTTCTGCTTCATGGCTTTATTACCTCATCTTCTGACTGCCCATTCTGCTTGCTCCGTGTCGCTTGGCATCTCTGCCCTCTTCTTCCCAGCATCCTCTCTGTACGGACATCCTGCCTAGCTATTGGCCGCTCAGCTTTTTATTAAACCAATCAGAGTGACACATTTTCACAGTGTACAAAAAGATTATTTCACAACAGAGGAGAGAAGAGGAAGAAGTTTGTTGAAAAACTGTTTTGTTCTGTTTTTAAAAGGGAGATACCGAACAGCATGTGTAATAACCGCAGTTCTCAGAGATTCTGGCTCTGGTAAGCCAAAGTCAGCCATTTCCAAGGAGACTTCAAGGCCAGAGGATAGCACTGGCGAGCAAGAGCAGAATGGAACTGGGACGCTGTGCCCCTGAAACAAAGGAGGAAGAACGTTCTTGCTTAAGGCTTTCCAGCTTGGGTCTCTCAAGGCCCACTCGACCACCTACAAACCCCCTAACTTTAATACTGTCATTATCTGAAGGCTCCAAGTCTCCCCTTTCCATCTCTCAGGCCTGAAGAAGCAGAAATCAAATACTGGTATGGGATAGTGCCCACTGAGGATTCTCATCACCAGCACACAATGGAGTGGTCCGTCATACTGCCCATGGCCATTGTGAGACATATCCACAGGCCAGCCATTTTCACTGCCAGCACTCCTGACAGAGCAAGACACTGCAGACCTTGGTGTCTCCTCAGGGAAGGCAAACACTGTCTCCACCTAACAGTAGAGTGCCACCATGCACACCAGCAGCGAGCTCAGGGGTCGGGGAATGCTGAGGTCGAGCTGCATGGCCTTTCGACATCTCATGGTTAGTTGCTAAGTCTCCATCAGGGCCCAGCAATGAGCCGTGAATGATTTCCCAAGTGGAAAGAATTGTCTTAGGGGATGGCTGCAACAGGATGTTTTCCTGGTGTGGATTTCGTATTGATGGAAGCATTGTGCAGCGTTCTGAGCATTGGCCTTGCTGTGTCATAGGCCCAGCAGAAGAACAGCTGGACTTGCTACTCAGGCTAAAATCCCAGTGAACATTGCTTTTAGAGCCCCTCAGAGCAAGTGCCATCATAACACACGGAAATTTCTACCTGTGGCCTCCAGAAGACCCCCTCAGAGTTCTGTGGTGTCAGTTAGCGTCCTTCCAAAAGGACATCAACCTCTGTGCGTCCCACGGGATGCTCTCCTTGTGTGATTTCCTAAGCTGATAGCCAGAAATTCCAGAAACTTCCTATTCGGCTGAAGTCACCAAGCCGCGGGCGAGCTTCTGCACAGTGTTAGGATCACACATTCTAGAACAGAGGAGACAGCCACAGCCCAAGCCTTCATCCCCACTGTACTTTTGATGACCTAAGCGTAAGCTGACATGCTTCCTGTCAGCTTGAATCCGGGACCCCCACCCTCACTAGAGTTCTGGAGTGGTATTTTATGGTCAGGACCAATGTCCAGTTCCTCACGTCCCTGTTTGTAAGTCCCATGGGGCAGGTGCCACGCGGGAAACTGTATGTTAAAATGGCATGACCACTGCTCAGTGCTGTAAGTGAGCTGACCCAGGCTAGAAACAGCTGAAGGACAGGATCCTCATTATTTGATGACCCAAGTCAGGCTTTTGACCACTAGAGTTCTTGTTAAGAAACTAAAATGAGAAAGTTGGGTCAGTTTCATTTCTGGGGACACTAATCAGGGAGCTGTCACCAAAGATCCCTGTGGAGGCAGATCATTCTAACTCCCCCTCCTCCCTGGCTGCCCTTGATAGGTTCCTGCACGGGCCCTCTGCTGCCTGGGAATACCAGTCCCATGGAAACCAGACACTGTCTGCAGAGTGGGACAGCAC